ACTAGCACCTAACACAATGCCTGGCACACGGAAAGCACTTAGTAGATGTTCATTGAATTAAACTCTAGTGTTCTCAATTAGGAATTATTTAATGAATACCCATAAATTCTGGTCCTAATGTGAAAAAGATATGATATTTCACTAACATAAGGTGCTTGTTTGTGCATTAGGCATAAACTTCTTTCACATAGCAGACCACTCTGTGACTTAGTAGATAAGTTTTAGATGTTAAGTGACTTGCCCAGGGTCATGCAGCTAGTAAGTGTTAGAAGCAAGATTTAAACCTAGGTATTCTGGACTCCAAGCCCAGCATTTTATCCTTTGCACCATGTTGTCTTTAGCTTATATCTCTTCCTGTACAAGGAGGCTTTTTCCATGTTCTTATGGATTCCTAGGTTCTTGCTAATGCAATCATAGCAAAATATATTAAATGAAAAGTTTGATGTGACAGATGCCTACATCAGCATATGCTCATGTAGGCATTTGTCATATACAATAAAGATTGCATCTGGGCATCAGTTCTTTGTAATGTTCAAATGCTGAGGAAGTATGGCTAGATAGTAAAAGATCTGGGGGTTTAATGAAATGCAAGTCACTATGTGTCAGCAGCATGATGCAACAGCTAAAAAAGAAAGAAAGAAAGAATCAAGCAAATGTGAGTTTGGGCTTCACTGAGAGAGGCATAGTATCCCCAATGAGGGCATTGATCATGCTGCTGCAGTTTGCCCTGGTCAGACCTGGGAAGTACTTTTTAGGAAGGACATTGATTTCTTGGATCATATCAAGAGGAAGGAGAACAGAATGTTGACATAATTGGAGGCTGTGACTTATAAAGATCAAAGGAACTGGGGATGTTTAGCCTGGAGAAGGAAAGTCTTGGAGTGCAGGGTGTTGAGGGTTGAGGGAAAATTGATAGCCACTTAGAAAGACTTTAACTGGAAGAAAGAACAAAATTTGTTGTCAGCCCCAGAAAAGAAACCCAGGAGCAAGGGTAGACACTCCAGAAGGGTAGATGTTGGCTTGGAATGTCAGTTGGCCAACAAACATTTATTAAGTGTTTACCATGGGCCAGGTGGAGCAGCTGGGTGGCAGAGTGGCCAGAGCACTGATGTTGGAGCCATTTTTATGAGGTCAAATCCAGCCTCATATGCTTAGTCATGTGACTTAGCAAGTCACTTAACCATGTAAAACGTAAAATGAGCTGGAGAAGGAAATGGCAAACTGCTCTAGTATCTTTGCTAAGAAACCCCCAAATGGGGTCAAGGAAGAGTTGGACATGGCTGAGAAATGACTTAACAACAAAAAAATGTGCCGGGTACTGTGCTACAAACAAAAGGAAAGTGCCTGCCCTCAATGAGGTTGCATTCTAATGGGGGAAGGCAACATGAAAACACAGTTGACAAATGGAGGGAGAAGAAGTTTTAGAGGAGAAGAGGAAGGGAGAAACAAAAGTTAAAGGATGAATCCCTAGCAGTATGAATCAACACTATGCGGGTGACATACCCGCAAAGAAGAAGAGCAAATCACAAAATAATATTGAAACCATTATTGAGGAATTAGATTCTTTTCTTTGTCCTTGGCTTAAGAATGTGTTTCTTTCACAATGCGAGTCCTTTCAGTCTGTGCCATTCTATCCCTGAATCCTTATCAAGAAGGCTTTTTGTCACATTTCTGATTGTTTCTGGACTGCTGTGTTGGTCCACTGTGACTGATTTGCTTTCTCTTGAGTCTTGTATAGATATCTAACAAAAACCATGGCAAAGCTACTGGGGACCTTTTACATAATAGGTGCCCAAATATTTAGTGAATATTCTTTTCAGTGGCCATCAGAGGTTTTCCACACTATTAAATACTGTCTCACTTTCCCTCCGAAACCTCCTTCTGCATGCAAACTCAGGATGGTTTCTTTGGTGGGAGATGCATTTACTAATGCTAAAAAGGCCTTTTCAGTTTAAATCCCACTAATAAAATTTCTTTAATCCCATGAAATTTAAAAGAGGTGCATTCAGGTCAGTATCTCTTCCCTTTCTTTGACTTTACTGACCTCTCTCACATGAGTCCAGTCATTCCCTCTCTGGCATCTTGATTAGAATCTCCATTTTACTTGATCCCCAACAAGACAGATCATCAATTCAAGTTGGAAGCCTTCTCAGAGGTCACCTTGTTTAACCCCGTAATTTTGCATCTGTGAAAATTGAGAAGTGCCCCGCCCAAGGTCACATAGGAAGGAGCTGAGCAGGGGACTGAACCCAGGCCCTTTCACTCCAAATCCAACACCCTTTCCACTGTTCTGTGCTAGGAGTTGTGCTTTTAGCTGACACATCCCTGAAGGATCTTCTGCATTTTTTCTTGCATGTTTCATAGCACTAAATAATATGCTACTGCCACACATCACTTTAGCCAAATGTTCAAAAATTGGGGATTTTGTCAGTTTATCCTTTTTAATTATTTTTATTTTTTGGAGGTAATTGGGGTTAAATGACTTGCCCATGGTCACACAGCTGGTAAGTGTCTTTGCTGGATTGGAACTCAAGTCCTCCTAACTCCAGGGTCAGTACTCTATCTACGAGCTGCCCCCAGTTCAAACAAACAAACAAAAAAAACCCCTAAATCTTCCTAAAATGTTATGAAGCTCTCATTACAGTAGGAAGCGAAGAGAAGAAGAATTGGAATTAATAATT